TGGCCCCCCGAACGGGTACCGCTCTGGAGGCCCACTGTCCCATGTCTGTCCTGAGGGACCTCCAGAGTGCCCAGCACCCCTCCCCATTGGATGTTATATGGCGTGAGGACAGGCCTTCCGGAGGGGGGTGTTATGTCAGACTCTGTTCCATGTTTTGTCTGTGTCTTGCTCCCCAGGTGTTCCTTTCCCATGTTTAATTTGTCCCAGGTGTGTGCATCGTGACAGTTATTCCATTCAGGGGTTGCTTAGCAATTTGATTATGAATTTTTTGTGCTGGGGTGGGTTAAAGGGTTAAATGTGATCAAATGTGTCCTGATCTGACACATGAGGCAAACAACTGAATGCACTTTTAAATGTAAGTAAATAAATAAATAAATAAATACAATTACCTTCAATGGGTCTTGGTACAAAGTGTGAAGAGGGTTTGGTTTTCTTCACACGGTTGCCTTTCATGACCTGACCCTCCTTGGTGAGGCCCAGGAACCAGGCTCGACCCGACTCCTGTTGACGGTACATGGTGGATGAGTAGATAACGTAGTAGTTCTCAAACACGGACTCCTTGAATTTACATTCAGGTGTGAACATCTCCTGAGGATAAAAAATAAATAAATAAAACCACATGTCAATGAACTCATCCCATGATAGGTGGGAAAATGAGAAAGAGAGGTCAAATAGTCTTATTAGGGAGTCCCCAGGGAGGCTGCCGGAATTTGTATATGTGGCTTGAAGGACTATGAAAAGTGTGTGACTTTATGTCTGTGTACAAAACAGTCACCAATCTGGGGGGTTAGAGAGAGAGAGTCAGCAGGAGTTAGCATCTCTTATCTGCGTCTGGTGACATACTGTCATGCAGCAGACGCTATCTTGCTAGGGATGCTACAAAGGTAAATGTGGCTTGGGGGACTCTAGCCAAAATTGATGAACTTTAGACCTTTTAGACCCTGCACCTGGCTTCAAGAAGACTGTACTTTTAAATGCAGTTTGACCTTTGAGTCCTAAAGAAAAGGTTGATGAGAGTATTTATATCAGTAGTGTGAAATAAGAACCTGCACAAATGGTGATCTGTTGTAACTGTTTAACTGACATAACACATCCAGTATGCATTTTCTAGATTGAAAAATTTTTTTTATTTTTTTTTATCTTGCTGTAGGTTTTTACAGTGTATTTGCATAATTCTTATTTACACATTTATATTTATATAATTTCTTTCTTATTTTAAAATGCATTTAGTACAATTTTATGGTTACACACTACAGGTGCATCTCAATAAATTAGAATGTCGTGGAAAAGTTAATTTATTTCAGTAATTCAACTCAAACAATAATATGAAAAAGTACAAATAATTTCAGATTGTTACAATGCTTATTTAGCTGAAAATCAGGTTCAGAACAGGATTTAGAAAATGAAATAGCCTAAATCTAACAAGTGAAAAGAAAAAAATTGAAAAGAATGGGTAATAAATAGTATTTTTTTCTCCTGGCATTTTCAGGAAAAGGAAAATCCTCTCTGGGTCAAAATGAGGGAAAACCACGTGAGGGTTTCTAAAGAAGAGATGAATGAGTTATTGGAGAAATCAGGCATGACTCAATTCTTTCTTACATATTAGTAAGCTACACGCAGAATAAATAAAATAAATGCAGATAGACAGATAGACAGATAGAGAGATAGATTGATAGACAGATAGACAGACAGACAGATAGATATGTACACTTTACTTTATGCATTTCATTCAGTCAGCAGCTTTCTCAACAACTCTGAGATGCCACTTTTTGCTGTGGCTCTGCCCTGGCCTTCAGGACCTTCAGCGTCACCCGGTCCAGCCACCACCATTGGCTCTGTCTCATTCACTTGTCGCCGTGGTTCTGCCAGCCAAGCTTTCGCCCTTTCTCCTCCCTCCTTTGCTTTCATCTTGGGACTAGGGTTCCACCACGGCTTCTCCCGCCACGTTCTCTGCCATAGCTGATCCTGCCTCTGTCTTTTCCCTAGTTTATCCTGCCTTTGACTCATTCCTGGCCCCGTCTGACCTGTATCCCTGCTCTACATCCTCCTCCAGAGCCCCAAACCTTCCATCTCATTTGGACTATGAAGGTTTTAACAAACCTTCACTCCCTGTGAATAGATCTAGCACATTTTATTCAACATTTGCAACCAAGCTGTGACACCTACATCATATTCTGGGGTTCCCTTACACAAAGCACTCTTCAAAAACAGCACTGACCACATGCTTCTAACCACAGGTCAAGAGCTGTAGTTCTAGCCACACACGTTTGAGATGCAGTTTGCAAATGTTTGTTGAAACTATGATTTTTGGAAACAACAAATCTTTGTAATATGTTGGTTCTGACGGTGAGAAGTTTGGAAGGATCTGGGACTGTGTATGTTATGTGTATGTTCTTTTGTTCTGTGGTTCCATGAGCAAAAATGACATTTTAAATTACATACTGTACTTCCAGGATTCTAGTGCCAACAGCTACCATTGCAATCAATGGACGTGCTCTCCAGGTATTGTAGACCACCTTAGTTTGAATTCAGCAGTTGAATGCACTTAGTAAAATCAAAACTCATTTAAATCTTTAGCAGAGTTAAGAAGTGTAATACAAACAGCCAAATGAAGCCAACAAGGACCAATAAGGCAAAACAGCAGAATGAAGCAGAAGGTAGTTAAAATGAGTAAGAATGGAAAAAAAAACCTGAATAAATGCACCACAAAAACTGCAGAAGACAGACATTTAAATAACCAAAGGGCAGACATGTTGAGTTTGCAGAATGACTAAAAATATGGAGAAAAAGCCTAATACCTTGATGAATGTGAGACTATTAATGGTGGAGTGCATGTGTAATATAACAAAGGCCTTGTGAGAACCTGACACATCTGGTGTAAACGAATATAAAGGAAGATGAATTTATGTGAGTCTAGATTAGGCAGCTGCGTAAGATGAATTTTTATTCCTGAGTTGTCTGTCTGACAGGTCATTACTATTCAAAGGATAAGGTCGGCATGTCTAGACAGCTGCCTCTTTCACATTGTGAGTCTGGAAAGGACACAGTTCCATCTCAGTGAGTGAAGGAAAAGTAAAGGACAGCATTTTATGTCCACATAATATGATGAATAAATTATATTTATCCAAAATCCAAAATTAATTTCACATAACATTTAATAATTGTTACTCTCTGTAATGTTGAATTGTCAGTTTAATTAATATAAAACCTTACATGTTATTTTTTTTATGAAATAGCAATGCTTATGTACACAGACTGCAATCAATCATCCAGGTAATACTGTTAAAGGTCCCATATTGTCAAAACTGAAATTTCCTGGCTTTTTTCTCGATAACGGAGGTCTACACTCTAAAAAAAGATGGTTCTTTAAAGGTTCTTTACATGCAGTAATGGTTTTATTTAGAACCATAGCATTCTGAAGAACCCTTTTATGCTGAAATGGTTCTTTGTGTTAGAGTTTAGGGTTCTTTATTCCCACCCTTTTGTTTTTCAAATCTGTAACTGTCAAAGCATCTCATTACTGATTTTCTGGAGCTCAGTGATCCAACTACAGACTGTTAACACACTCTCAACAGGTAAATGATTTCATTCTTAAATTTAAATAAAAATGTTACTTTAAAAATGTAACTGGTTTCCAAGCAAAAGGAAAGTTTTCAGTTTTAGGGAACATATAAGTGTGTGCAGCTCTGCTAAGCTGTGGAATCTTCTCTCATCTTCTCCACTAAGTAAAAGAGACAATGAATTTATAATTCATATTGTTAGATTTTTTTTAATTATTACTTGGGTTTATGTATAAACATACCCAGTCACAAAATATAATAATATAAAAACTATCCCATGACTTTATATCACTTTTTTCTTTTAGGATTATGAAGGGCTCACATACTGTCCATTTTTGCTTGTGGCGTTCATAAACATAATTGTTTTTACATAAACACATGGACACACTGTAACTCTAAACTCAATTGTGTATTTCAGATGTATTACATCCCACAACCTCATCATCTGCAGAGAAAAATCGCCACTTAATCACACCAAAATGATGGACTTAAAGGCATCATATGGATTGGATTATGATTGTTTCACTGAAACTTGGTCTTCATCACATCTATTTTTTGTTCTTATTTTGTGTTTTACTTCTTAATGTATTTATTCATGTTCAATGTCAATTGTCATTCATTAATGTATTAAGTTAATAACTGTTGAGCACTGACACTTTTGCATGTCAATAAAAACATACTTAATTCCAGTGTTGGGAAGGTTACTTTGGAAATGTAATAGGTTACAGATTACAAGTTACCCTACTTAAAATGTAATAAGTAGTGTAACTTTTCAATTACTTTATTAAAGTAATGTAACTGATTACATTTGATTACTTTTTGATTACTTTTCTACATTTTTAATGTTTTCAACTGTTTATCATTTTTAAACATGTAAACCAGGCAGGGTAAACCTTACAGTAGTACTCAACACTGATTACTGTCAGACTTTCGAAATCCTTCATCACATGAATTAAGATTGTATTTAAATTTTAAAGTAGACATTGGATGCAAAATTCACTTTTGCATGGTGTTTGCATATAAATGTATCTTAGCAGTGTGTGGACACAACCACCCTACAATGATAAAAATCCATTCACTCCTTTTTTTAATCCCCCAAAATCCTAAATTTACATGCTTAAGGATTATTTCAACCAAACATGAAGTGTGCCTGTGTGGAAAGTGACTGTGCATGGTCCTTCTTGGGTCTTTCACAAAAACGAGTGAGCGCCATTTAAAAAAATTAAAATAGGCCCTATATAATATGCACTGATGCTTAGTATTAAAATTATAGCTTCAGATGCATAATATTTGTAGGGCCCTATTAAATCCGTTTTATTTTTCCCAAATTAGCCTAAGTTTTATTTTTTCCAAAATCTTTTTTTTCCATTTTAATTTTTCTGGATTCAGTTTTTTTTTTTCTTTTTTTCTGGATGATTATATTAAATTTTAACAAAAAACATGTCTAATTAATTAAAATCATGAAACTTGTTTAACAGATTTATTGAGCCCGAAGAGACCTTTTGAATGGTCACAACAGTGTCAGTGTGCCTTTGATAACGCAAAGTCTCTTTTGGCCAATGCTCCTGTGTTGACGGCACCTAATTTTGAAAGACCTTTCTTACTTGTTGTTGATGCTAGTGCTTACGGCGCTGGCGCTGTTCTTTTTCAAGTAGATGCTAAGGGAATCGAACATCCAGTCAGTTGTTTTTCAAAAAAATTAAATCGTCATCAGCAAGCGTATTCTATGGTGGAAAAAGAGACTTTAGCCCTGGTCTTAGCCATTCAACATTTTGAGGTCTATTTCAGTTCAGTCTGTGGTCCTATCATTGTTTACACCGACCATAATCCACTGACTTTCTTGGATCGAATGCGTGGCAAGAATCAAAGAATCATGAAGCGGAGCCTTGTTTTACAGCCCTTCCACCTACAGATTAAACACATTCATGGCAAAGACAACCTAATTGCTGATGCTCTCTCGCAGCTGTAAGATATCTCCGTAGTGTTGGAGAAGCAACAAAGCAACAAAACAAAACTGAAGAAAGAGAG